AAGGCAGAGGTCCAAGTTGCCGAGGTTGTCGAGCGCGCCGAGAGCCCAAAGAAAGAGCCCGAGAAGAGTCCTTACGATGCGCCGAACGCCGATGTTCGCATCGACAATGTCCTCCAGCATCCAGTGGAGATCAAGAGATTCCAGGTGCCCACTAGTCGCGGCTATCTCAGCTGGGGTCAGGACAAGCCCGTGTTCAAGTCCCGTGACCCTTCAGCTGAGAGAGAACGTCCTTTGCTCAACCTTGTCCTGCCGACACCGACGCCCTCCCCCATGCCGGAGCAGCAAATTGAACGGGCGGAGCCGAAAACTGAGCGGCCAGTCGTCACGCAAATCGACACATCCCACACGTACGAAGACGTTGAGGCGGAGCCCAGAGGCACCGCGACCCCCGCAACACCAAGGACAGTCACGTGGGGCGAGAACTCAACGAAGCATTATGTTGTAGAGAGTCCCGTGCGAGAGGATGACCCTTGGTCAGGGCCGAGGATCGTCGAGCCCGCGGAAAGCAAGCCTCGCTCAAGCAGAAAAAGCGGCTGGGGCGCAATCGCTGCCGCAATGGCTGGCGTTGGGGCTGCTGCTGCGGCGGCGACGACGAGCTCTTCATCCGAGGCCTCCACATCAAAGCCTTCGCCAAGGACCAGTATTTCGAACAGGGCGTCCAGCCCGGTCGACGAGTTCTACAGCAGTCCGCCAGTACCGGGGCCGAAGCCATCAAGTCCTGCTAGCAGTTCGATGCCCGGCTCATTCGATGAGGACCCGATGTTCACCGCGAACATTGCAGCTGGTCTTGAGGGCAGCGGTTTCGACCCCAATATCATCCTTGATGATGCCAAGTTTCACAAGCGAAGCTCCCCTCCCAGGGCTGATGATCAAAGCCCCGAGGTATGGGATCGTGGCTTCGTCCTGGGCGAGCTTCCAGACAGCCCCGCGTCTGAAAACGACATCCCAGCCAGCACATCTGATATCTACTCAAAGCTATCAAAGAAGGAGAAGCGCAAGCTTGAGAAGGAAACCAAGGCTGATGCAGGCTCCGACTCTCCAACGGCATCGACGGTGCTGGAGCCACTTGCGGACTCATCTTCTTCGTCGAAGCTCAGCAAAAAAGAGCAGAAGAAGCGCGACAAGGCCGCCGCCAAAGCTGCTGCTGCTGCGGCGGCAGAAGCTGAGGCAGCAGCCGCTATCGTTGCTGCGCGAGAGCCGTCTCCTGTGAGGGAGGAGAAAGAAGAGAGTTCCTCCAAGAAGAAGTCGAGGAAGTCAAAGAAGGAGAAGGCGATTATTGTGCAAGAGGACATCAGCCCCTCGCGAGAGTCCCCAGTCAAAGAGAGCCCAAAGATTACTGACTCGCGTGAAGTCAAATCTCCTTGGGAGCCTACATCCGCCATCCGGAACGAAGAGCCTCGGCCACGGAGTCCCGACCGGTACGAAGGTCGTTTCAGGGCGCCGTCTTGGTCCCAGCCTGCGCGAGATCAGATCACTGTCATCGAGGACGAGCCTCCGAAGGCAGAGACGCCCAAGAGCCAGCGCGACATACTGCGGGACCAGATCACCGTCATCGAGGATGACTTACCAAAGCAAGATGAGCCTGCGAGCAAGCGAGAAATGACCCGAGCGCCAGACTCATGGTCATCATGGGCGCAGGATCTGCCAAATGTCGCAGTCAAATCCTCGACTGACCCGCAGACTGGCTCCACACACATCGACGTTGTCCCTGCCACACCACCAGTCGAACGTGCCGCCGCTGAGTCTATTCGTGACAACCGGACAATAGCGAAGACTTCGCAGTCCAATGGCGGACTTCCTTGGCTGTTCAACCGTGATTCCCGGGCCGACTCACCGGCCAATGCGCCGGCTGAGTCTGGTGGTCTTCCGTGGTTGTTCAACCGTGATCCAGCACCCGCGCCGACCCAGCCTGCCGGCACTTCCAGCTCGTCCCCCGATAATGCTGATGACGACTTCAAGAAGAGTAAGAAGGAGAAGAAGAAGGATCGTAAAGAGAAGCGTTCCCCGCTACGCTACGACTCCCCTCCGCGATCTATCCCTACAAGGGATCGCTCCGAGAGCCCGAAGCGGCGGTCCCTTGACGGCGCTGGTGCGGCTTCCACTTCTGCCATCCTCGCAATGATTGCGGCGCAGGCCGGCCGTGACAAGTCCAACTCGAAGAGCGAGCAGGAATCTACCCGCGAGCATATTGCGTCAACCCGGGAGAAGCGGGATGATCTTCCTAGGTCAATCTCGGATGATCTTTCGTTCATCACATTGACGGAGGAGCCCTCGACGGTCGATGAAGAGTCAAGACGCCCGCGTGATGGGGACCGAATTCGAGATCGTAAGATTGACGAAAGTGTCAGCGATTTCGCGGCGCCATCCACCGTGGCGAGCTTCTACACATCTGCCGACTCATTCCCCCCAACCGATATCACACGAGAGACGACAATCGTAAGCGAGGAAGACTGGGACGCCATCAAGAAGAAGAGCAACAAGAAGAAGTCTAGTCGTGAAGCCGATATCTACGACTCGCCTTCCCGAGCCGACTCTTTTGATACCATCTCTAGTCCAAAGGCTGCTACAGACTCGTTCAGCGATGCGCGGTCAAGGCGTGATCGCTTCGATGACAACGAGTCCACGATATCCAAGAAGTCTCGCAGAAAGTCGTCCAAGCACGAGTCCGACAAGTACGAGGGCTCATCATCACGGTCTGATTCCCGAGCTGATGGTGCCTCGGAGGTCTCGCGGTCAAGGTCCAAGAAGTTGAGACACGACTCTGCCGCGTACGACTCGCCGTCCTCGCGGCCACAGTCTGTGGAGAGAGTGTCGAGTCCGAGAATCCTAGCGGACTCGTACAGTGATGTGCGATCAGAACGTGGTCGGCATGATGACGATGAGTCCAGGAAGTCTCGGAAGAAATCGTCGAGGCGGGAGTCCGAAAAGTACGAGGACTCGCCGTCGCGCTCCGAGTATCGTGGTGATGCCGCTTCAGTAGTCTCTTCGAGTTCGAAAAAGTCCAAGCGGCACTCCGAGATCTATGAAGAGTCACCTTCTCGCCGGTCTCGCTCCATCGCCGCCTCCGAAGCGTCTGTTAGCTCGAGAAGATCGAAACGGGACGTCTACCCAGACTCACCAGCACGTTCGGTCACATTCTCTGAGATAGATGCCGGAGACAACGAGAAGCGAAGCAAGAAGGAGAAGCGCCGCAGCTACCCTGGCGTCGGCAGCCTCGCTGATGGGGACAATGATCGCCGGGTTGGGGACGAGTTGCCCGAGCGTGTGCGTGACAATGATGCCAGCTCCATTGTGTCAGAACCATCTCGTTACACGGACAAGCAGTCAAACGGACACAAGAGTCGCAAGAAGCTAGACGACGACGATGATGCAAAGTCTATCGTCTCGTCCCCAGGGGGGGAGCGACGAGAGCGGAAGAGCTCAAAGCCCGATAAGGAAATCAAGGAGAAACGGAGTAGTGGCGGCTTCGGCTTCTTCGACCGCTTCAGGTCTTCCATGGGCTACACAGACGAGAAGGAGCGCACCCAGAAATCTGAAGAAGACAAGGACGAGAAGAAGTCTTTTTTAGATAATGCCGGCACTCTTGGCGCGGGTGTCGGCTTGACGGGGGCCGCGTTTGCATTGGCATCGCGGTTTACCCGTTCTAATGCCTCCAATACTTCGAACAAGGAGCAAGAAGCAGCTCCTGAAACCACTTCCACCCCGGGAATGGAATCCCCTCTCCCGCAACAGGACATCATTGATCCTGAGATTGTGGAGAGGCAGATTCGCCCTGCAATCGACCCCCAGTACGGCGACCTACTGCCACTGCCTCCAAGTAAGCCTAGCACTCCCGTAGAAGAGATCCAGGAGCTTCCGCTGCTGGCAGATAGTCGTCCGGAAACTCCGGAACAGGAGCCTCGTTCAACGACTCCTGACAAGTCCGTCAGAGAGCCCCGGGCTCTCCAGCCTGCTGCGATCATAGAGGCGCAATCGCCGCCCACACAAGAGGACTTCGTCGATCCCGAGATCGTTCAACGAGAGATTCGTCCTGCAATTGACCCGCAGTATGGCGATCTACTGCCCCTGCCTCCAAGCAAGCCCGGCTCGCCTCTGAGTGAGCCGGACGAGCTGCCAGAACTGCCTGACAGCCGTCCAGAGACCCCAGAGCATGAGCGACAGGTGCGCCGTGGATTTGTTTCCCACACTCGGAAGCGCAGTGCCAACGACGTTCCCTTGGGGCTCCTCAAGACACCCAGCCAAAGTGCGGTGCCCCTGCAATTCCGCCTCGGGCTGCGACAGTCTCCATTGTCACCCGGTTTCCTGCGCCCATCGCCTGTCGTTTCTCCCGTAGCCAGCACTCCCGAGCCGTCGGGCAGTGTCACGAAGAGCCGGTCCCGGCCTACGTCATGGGAGGCGACCAAGGAGTTCAAGCCCTTGTACCTGCTCGAGAAGACTTCACGTGACAACAAACATGAGACTTCTCCTTCGGCTGAAGAGCTACCAGAGCTACCACCGAGCGAGCCAAGCGAGCCACCGTCAAGAGCATCCCCTGACCTGTCCGCCGCGGGAGATGACGACGAGTCATCCACCAACATTCGTGTGCCCCCACTCTCACTCGACATGAACTTCGAGGATGAACCCGAAATCCTACTTGGCTCCGAGGAGACGACACCCAAGGCAGAGTTCTCGACCAGGACTTTTGACGATGCCTTGGATGATGCCTTGCGCGAGCAGGTTGACACCCCATCCGATTCGGATGTGTTCGAGTCTGCTGCCGCATCGCCGGATTTCCCTTCTCCCGCTGCTCACGATGAATCGGGCTGGTCCTCGCCGCGCACGGCCGTCCAGGCCGATTCCACGGCGAGAGGCCAAGATCCCTACATGGTCTACTCCAGCCCGGCTCAAAGGACCGCCGGCTCGACCCCGCGCGAGCAATCGCCGACCTTGCGAGCTGCCGACCGCGCAAACACCCGCGCCGCAAATGATGACAGTGAGACAGAGGAGAACAAGGACCGCTCGGGCACGCTCGCGGCTCTGGCTGTCGCTGCAGCGGGGTCGGCAGCTGCGTACGTGGCGCTCGACCCAGGCGAGGAAAGCACCGCGGATGAATTCTTTGATGCGGATAACTCTCCCTACAGAGACGAATTCTCGGATAGCTGGGATGACCTTCCTTCGGCTGCGGTTGTGATGTCTCGTGCTGCTGATAATGATGGATCCGAGCTTGAGCCGCCTGCAATTACTGCTTCCCCATTGTTGGATGAGGCCGAGATCGCCGATGTGAAGGCCGCATCAACATCACCGAACGCGGAGGCAGCTCCTGACTTGATCCCTCTGGAGACGGCCGATAGCACTCGATCGACAGATGTCGGACCAGATCCGACTCCTCTACGAGAGAACCTTCTTAATGTTGTTGAAGATCTGGCTGAACGCGGACAATCATTATCTGAAGCTATGTCAGTTGTCTTGCCGGAAGTCACCCTGGAAGAAGTCGAGCTGCTTTCCGAGAATGAGCCCCTTGAGAGCACGGAAACTCCCGCCGAGCCCGAGCTGCTACTTCCGGAGCCTGAGAAGATTGCCCTACCAGATATGTCTTCAGAAGAGATCGAGCTTCTGGCGGAAGAGACAAGCCCCGACATTGCACAGATGGACTCTGCGACCCAGCCAGCCATTGAGGCGGGGACCTCGGAAGTTGACACAGTCGTTGATGTCTCAGAAGTCAAACTGTCCAAGAAGGCCAAGAAGAACAAGAAGAAGAAGCAGGAACAAGCTTTGGCCCAGGTTGAGCAGGAGACTTCTGGAACTTCCCAAGTGGTTGACACCAGGACTATTGTCGTGCCTCCAAATGACACACCAACAGGAGATCAGCTGCGTGAACTTGTCGCAGGTTCGCAAGCAGCTGAGCCCAGAGAGGTCACCCTCGCAGACCCCCCAAAGCTTTCTGAACCTGCCCTAGATACCCCTCTGACCGAGGAAGCTGTCGGTGAAGTGCCTCAACCGGTCCCAGAACATGCGATTGTTCATATTGACCACCCACTATCGGAAATAACCACCGGGAACACTATCTCCTCCAATGAGCCCGCCGAAGCCTCAAGCCCTGCACCTGTCAAGCTGTCGAAGAAGGAGCTGAAGCGCCGGAAGAAGGCGGAGGCCGAAGCAGCAGCAGCAGCACTGATCGCAGCACCCGCGGAGACCGTAGCTATGCCTATTGAAGAACAGCACGCCGAACCTCCAGTTGACCAGTCCCTACTGACGGCACTGCCTGATGTCGATGAGCGGGAAACCAAGGATCTAGAGGAACCTGTCCTCCTGCCAGTCACCACAGAGAAGACCCAAGATGCAGCCGTGGCAGCTGAGGCTCAAATTCAGATTCCAGCGGAGGAGCCGCTGCCCCTCACTGATGCCCCCGAAGCCCCTTCTTCTCCCCCTGTCAAGCTTTCGAAGAAGGAGTTGAAGCGGCGAAAGAAGGCAGAGGCCGAAGCTGCAGCGGCAGCAGCACTTACAGCTGTAACAGCATCGACCGCCGCAGCTTCAGTGTTTGGAGAGCATCAGGCTGAACCCTCCATTGACCGGTCTCTTCAAACTCCACTACCAGATGCCGATGAGCAGGAAGTAAAATATCTTGATGATGATAATGTGATTATATCACAAGCCGTCGAGCTGGCACTGGACAACGATGCAGCTGCAAAGACCGAGATCGTCACCGAAGATCCTCCGTCAATTTCTGACACTGTTGAAGCACCCCTTTCTGCACCAGTCAAACTATCCAAGAAAGAATTGAAGCGACGGAAGAAGGCAGAGGCAGAGGCAGCTGCAGCCGCGGCAGCTGAAGCCCCTGAGGAACAGATCGCCGAGCCTTCGGTTGACCAGTCTTTGCTCACTGCATTACCAGAAGCTGATGAGCACGAAGCTGAACGCCTGGGCGAGCTTGTAGAGCCATCCGCACCTGTCGAAATCGTACAAGAGAAGGACGTCATTCTCGAAGAACAAGTCCATGCCGAGCCATCCGAAATTTCGTCAGAAAATCCTCCTTCTGCACCTATCAAGCTATCGAAGAAGGAATTGAAGAGACGAAAGAAGGCCGAGGCGGAAGCGGCGGCAGGCAAAGCGCTCAAAGAGCAGGATGTCGAGGCCCCTGTCGATACCTCCATCTCGACTGCGCTGCCGGAGCCTGACGAGCAAGAATCAGTCGCTCTTGCTGACTACGCAGAACCATCATCCGCTGAAGGATCTGCAACAGCCAAGGAGGAGCCTACCGGCGTGCCGGAATCTGCTGTGCCCAGCGAGATGCTCCCACCGATGGAAGATGTGGCCGCGTCTCTCGCAGACGATGGAGAGCCAAGTCGCGGAGTGCAACCTCGAACTACTGAACCAGAACCTATCTCATCATTGGAAGACACTGCTGCGACCCACCTGGCCGGCAGGGAGCCGGTAGCCGCGACACCTGCGCAAGCTCTGGACCTGGCCCCGAGGAACAGCATGGTTCCGAACATCTGGCCGCCGCTCCCGACGTCGTAACCCAGGAGGCTTCGCATCCAGTCATCGAGGAGCAAGAGGCCACCCCGGTTAATCTGTCAAAGACGGAGAAGAAAAGGAGAAAGAAACTTGAGCAGGCAGCGGCTTCTGAGGCTTCTCAAGATGTACCATTTGCGGAGGGGCCGAGCACAAAGGATCTGCCCATCAACGACAATCTCGCTTCGAACGTAGAAATTCCCTCGCCGCATGAGCAAGACGTCACGACAGGTTTACATTCAGCCGAGACTGAGCCCACGATTGATGCTCGTGCCGCGAACGACATTGAGCCTACTTCATCTTCGATCCTCGAAAATGCTGACACCACGACAGCTCCTGCCATGCAGACGTCCGAAGAGGCTGCTGAACTCCAAGAAGACGACACTCGTCCAGCTGAATCTATTTCGAACCAAGCAGAGGCCCCTTTAGAACTTCTGGCGCCTACTCATGGCACAGCAGAACTCGCCCCAGATACGGTGCAAACCGAGCCTGTAGGCGATGACTCTGACGTTATGTCCAAGAAGGAAAAGAAGAAGAAGAAGAAAGCAAAGAAGGCTGCTCTGCTTGAGCAAGAGAACCAGCCAGAAGCGGAGTCCATATCGGAACCGGTTTTGGCGCCAGACGTCGCCAAGGACGATGCCGCTCCTGCTGCCGCAGCTGATGCCCCCGTGAATCCGGTCGAGTCTTCTGAACCCCCCCAAGAAGTTTCAGAGCCTGCGCATATCGATGAAGATGCTCTTGACGCTTGGGGCATCGACGAAGATCCAGTTGCTCCAATTGGCCCATCCGGAGATCTGGCAGCTGGATCTGGGGATGCCGTTGAGGTCGAGCACAATGGCGAGAAAGTCGACGAACTATCAACCTCGCCGAACGAGGCTTCCGCCTCGGAAACAACGCGGCTCGTGGAGCCCACTTCACTAGAAACAGCGCTGGTCGTGACTGAGCCGGTCGATTCGACCGTGACGGAGAGGTCTGAAGACTTGCCTGCCGCTGAGACTCCTCAACTCGCCCGGGGTACTGACGTCGCGGACAAGTCATTGCCACAAGCCGACTCGAAGGTTGCAGCGCTACCCCAATCTGGGGATCCAGCTGACTTTCCCTTGCCTAAGGTGCCCGTAGAAGCTGAGCCGGCTCAATCAGAGCCAGTGGTCCTTGATACTCGTTCACCAGAAGCTATCGCGGATGATGAGGAGCTCGCTGCGCTCAAAGCCAAGAAGGAGAAGAGGGGCAAACTTAAGAGCAAAGATAGGAAGCGCCTTGACGAGCTCACAGAGAAGATCGAGCGTCGCGCTGACGATGCTGTGCAGCTCGCTCAGAGCAGCAAGCCGGTAGAGCAAGAGCTTGTCAAACCTATTGAGGTGCAAGAATCGACAGTAGCACCCGGCACATCTGGCGCAGAGGACGTCTCTGGGATTTCTCCCAAAGAGCTTCCAAAGATTTCACTGGAAGAACCAGCTGAAGCTTCCGCGCGTACACCTCTAGCCCGTGAAGTGGACATTAACACAACCGAGATGGAATCGGCTGAGAGCGCACTGCACAGTGACAAAGACCAGCTCGTTGAGGTCCCAGCAGTAGCGAAGACGACCGCTGATCTCGAAGATGTTCAGTCAGAACTCATTGCACCGGAAAACCCAGCAGAAACTTCTAACTTTCACCTAACGTCAGAGACACCAGTGGTGGAAGAGACAGCTGCCGAGCATATTCAACAGGCTCCTTCTGCAGACACTGGCGCCGTCAGTGACAAGAAGAGCAAGAAAAAGAAGAAGAAGCGGGCCAACACTCTTGAATCCGAAATCGAAGCTTCTGCATCGACCACCACACAGCAGGAGAACCAAGACAATGCTGGGCTGCCATCAGATGCATCCGCTCTCCATCATGCACACGAGTTGGCTCCTGCCACCACAACTGCGGAGCCAGACTTTGCTTCTGTCGCCAACGTAGAGAATCTCCTGGAAACCACTGTGCGTGATGAGAAAGACCTTGGGACTCTTTCTGAGACCAAGCCTCAGGTCGAGGCCCATGATCTCGACATCAGCCCTGCACAGTTAGACAATGCCTTGGTTGCCAAGGAAACAATACCAGCTGCGGATACTCTCAAGTCCGGTGTTCCTGTCCAGGATGTTGGGGCCATTGACAAGACAGTCAGCGGAGTTCCCGAAATGGTTGAGGCCGAAGACACGTCTGTGCCAGACACTGTGGCTGAAGCCCCGGTTGATTCGGCCATAGCAAGTATGGCGTCGACAGATGTTGACGACTCAGGCAAGAAGTCGAAAAAGGACAAGAAGAAGAGGAAGAAGCGCGATTCTGGTCAGCTAGATGAGCCTGTAACCGAGGAGACACCACCAGCCTTGCAACCAACCGACACCAACCCCATCTCCTTCGAGCAGGATCAGGAACAGAAGGCTGAGGCTGCTACACCTGAAGATACCCCAGCCAACCTAGCGGCAGCTGCACCTGTGGATCTAGTGCCAGCCAACGAAGAAACTGTCCCTGTCGCCATCGAAGAAGCTGATGCCGCTTTGACCCAGCCACAAGATGAGGAGACACCCGGTCCTAAAGCCAGTACTTCCGATGAACCTTCAGATGCCACCAATGCTTCACCATCCTCTGGTAATCTGCCAGGCGACAAGGAAATCGCTCAGGAGAGAGCTGCAGATCTCGAAGCGCCTATCCAGACTCCCGTAGATGTTTCCCGCGACACACCAACGGCCAGTCCTACGATGAAGCCAGCTGTTTCTGAGCAGACGCCGAGTTCCACGGATGTCCAGGATGAGCCCGTGACCCCGACCAAGTCCAAGAAGAGCAAGAAAAAGAAGAGGACATCGCAGCCAGAGACCTCGGCTCCTGACGTGCCGACCGTCTCTGAGGCTGAGAATGCATCTTCGAACACCACGATTGCTGCAGCTGAAGCCGAGCGCAACATTGAAGCTGCAGATGGAGCGTCTTCAGAGGTTCAGCCTGCTTCAGACGAGCTGAATATCGAGAAGCAGGAGGCCGAAGCCGGACCTACGTTCCCTGGCGCTGCGTCCAACACGGTCGATGCTGAATTGAGCAGCAATGATCCATTCCTCGGCAACAAACCCCCGAGCGAGCCAGAGACACCGGCCAAGCTTCCACAACTTGCTGAACCAAGTCAGCTGCTGTCCTCGGACGTGATGACTAGAGACGGGTCAGCCCCTAGCGAGCCGACTGAACGATCCTTACCTGCCATTAACGAGCCAGAGACTTCTCTCGAGCTTTCATCCACAGACGTGACCCCACCTACTGCTGAGGATAGCCAATCTGTTCCGGCCTCGGTAGTTGAGGATGAAGCCCCTGTCAACAAGAAGAAAAGCAAGAAGGACAAGAAAAAGAAGAAACAGGCAGCCGTCTTAGAGGCTTCGGAAGCTGTTACCGCGTCTGATGATGGTCCCACTGAAATCGTCACCGAACCTGCTATGCAGAATCAAGAGGGTGTAGTGCAACACCCAGGTCTGCTCGACCAGCCCAGTGTCGCAGATGACTTGCAGACAGTGGACAACGCAGGCAAAGTTGAGAGCGACTCAATTGCCATGCTCGCTCCTGAGGTTGTCTCCGCTCAAGGTGACCAGCCCTTGGCTGCCACTGTCGAACCGAAGGAAGGTCCCATC